TCTGTGTTCCCTGCATAAAAATTACTTGTTCATCAATTAAGAGACTATGAGAAGATCCAGGAGATAAAAACTACTGTAATGTTTTATTCTCTCTGTGTAGTAATTATAAGGTTTCTTCTATCCTCTTAAACATCAACTCATTTATCATACAAAATCATGAGGAAGTGGGGGAGGAGAGAGAGAGAGGAAGAGAGGTGGGGGAAGAGACAGAGATGGAAAGAAGATTCTTCTTCAAAAACTACAATCCTAACTCCTGAACTATTCAGTCTTCAGAAATGTAACAGGACGTGGCCCGTTTTGCTTCACTCTATATTCTGTTCTTCACATGTCTATGGACAATACAGAAGGCACGTTCTTCTGAATAACAAAATTTCTAACACTGTGCACTATGTTCAAAGAAACATGTTTACTTGAGAATCTGAGATACTTCCATTGTTGTCCGTGGCTTTAGCAGTACTGTACTGCAGCCTGCAATGGAAATAAGATGAGAGAATTCTATTACAAGCATGACTGAAGTCCAATTACCCAACCCTTCATGCACAGGAGTTAGATGGGGAAGGAAATTAACCCACCCCACCCTCCTGTTTTCCCATCACTTATTTCTTAGCTGCAAAAAGCAACAATCCAGAATAAAGATAGCTATACAATGCAATTTAGTTGGTATTACACTATGGATTCTCCTATGCAGTACAATTCCATCCCCCCTTCAATGCCAAATTTATCCTTAAATAAATAAATAAATAAACACCTGTCCTGGGCTGTTTGCAGAACTGCTTTATCAGGATGGCAACTATAACAATGTTCAGTTGTAATAAAACATTAAAATGATTTACCTCTCACAGACTTTAGCCAGTCCACATTGAAAGGTTTGAGTTCCTCTGCATCAGTAATGACTCTCCCAGGCAAAAGGTGCTCAAAGAAAGTTAAATCAGAATCAGAAATGCGAGCAAAGGGCAGCCTCTCTACCCTATACCGTTCACATGTGAGCATTACTTCCTGGAGATGAAACTGGCTGGTGTGCAGATTTCTCTTAGCTATGTTGCTGATGTTCCACTGGAGAGAAGGTAAGAACAGAAGTGCCTCCAATGGTTCTGTGGCTTTCTTCTCGATTCTGGATAGAGTGGCAGTCCTATTCCATATGCTCCTAGTTTTTCTCTGGCATCTGGTAACCAACCTGGGTACAGTCCCAATGTATTGAAATAGACAAGGCCAGACAAGGCTGGAAATAGCCATAATCAACCTGAAACACAAAAATAACCGGATGGAATCCCTCTTTCCAAAAAGCTCCCATTACATTTTTCCCTTTTTAAAAAATGAAGGCCATTTAAAATGTTTATAAAGTCATAGTCATGGATAGGATCACATGATACAACAAGTTGCTAAGCTACTCTGGGGGGAGGTTAGGGACTAAAAATCCATCACAACGGACTTCACACTCCTGTTTATTTCTACAGTGCTATGTAGAAGAAAATGCATTTTCAATAAAGTATACTTGCATTAACTCTGCAAGCTGTGAATAATTGCTTGTGCTCCCATACATCAATGGTCCTCATCCAAAATAGTTCGGTATTTGAAATGAATTTTTTACTATACAAGAAATAAATATGAAAACTTGATTTATAAAGCATGCACAAAGTGCATAATATCCCCAGAAATAGGCAAGGAAGCTGGGCTTTTTAGGTGCAAACCATAGAAGAGACTAAATCAGATAAGCCTTCTAAATCTCACTTTGCCTATCTTCAAATTATTTCATCACTTTATTTAACACCGTAGTTAAATGAATACCCGTTCAGCAGTGTTTCCCAATCTTGACAATTTCCAAATATAATATATTAATTTCAGGTGCTTTAGAGTTCTCCACTTGGCAGGTCATTGTGGCTGAGAATTCTGCTAGCTGAAGTCCAGCAAACGAACTTTGACATTTGGCTTGAACCTTTTTTTCCCCCTCTTCCTACTAATTGGAAAATATCAAAAATTGCACGCTATTTTGTGACCTCGAACTGGACTATTATTCTTTTTTTATGATTGCTAGGACTTAAATAGGAAAGGGAACAAAACGAGGAGGACAAGGCAGAGCTCGATGCTTGTTTTTTTCGAGCTACTGGGAAAATTCCATCAGGCGTTTTAGGGCGGGAGGAGCACGGGAATCGCAGGACCTGGAGGAGAATTCTGATCGACGGTAGCAGAGCGGTAGGGAAGGGAAAGGAAGGGAAGTTTCTTCTGTGCACCTCGCAAGCAGCAGTCATTTCCCTACTCACTTTTGCACCAGACCAGGGCCGACTTTTCCCCCTCGGGCAGATCTAGGCGGTGCCTTGTTCGCTCCGCCCCAGCTTTGCGGGTAAAGAAGCGACGCGCCACGTGGGCTCGTCGCCTAAGCTCGGTTGAATCGATCTGGTACGGATGTTGGTGGCGTTCCTGCTTCCCGACTTTTCCCTCGCAGAGCCGCATCTTTACTTTTAATGTGCAACCATCCACTCCGCCCATTCAGAACAGGCGCTTCTCAATCTATCCGGTCATAGCCTAACGCCCCCCCCCACCCCCTCGGGCTGTCGAAGAGGCAATAGAGATACGTCTCAAAAGTTTAACGAATGTATTAAAGATTTTTTAAATTTGGGGGGGGGGGTGGGAGTTAACATGGCAATGTTAATATTCTGTTTAACGCTCGTATTAAAATAGCTGGTGCTTCGGGAGAGTCTGAAAGTGAAACTATATCTTGCCCCACCCACTCGGCTTTTTGGCCACAATAGAAAGGTGTGGCGGGGGGAGATAGAAATGTGTTCAATTTCCCACCCACCCAGACTTCAAAATGTAACTGAAAAGTCAGTAGATAAACATCAGTTCTCATTCTCAATTCAGCGTCAGGAACCTTGAGGAGCGGTTAAGGCATTGGCTAAGCGTGCTGGCATGGGGCATTCTGGGAGTTAAAGTCTACACATCTTAAAAAGTTGCTGAGGTTGAGAGACACTGGGTTAAGGTGTCAAGATTCAGAAATCACTGCAATCACCTGGTGACTAGATGTGCTGGAACTATTTCTTGAATTGAATCCCCCCAGTTCTACTCTTTCTGGAAGGCACAAAGTTGGCAGAAGCTGTGCTGTTAGATCACTCATGCTGGATAGCAGCTACTATGCTAGATTTTACTAAGCTAGCATTCCTGGTTAAGATGCCATTAAAATCAAGAAGTTGTAAGATGATAACATTACCTGTTCTAAGATTCTCTCTACCCTGCACTGCTTTAATTAGCTCCTGTGCGAACTGCACTGGCTCCCAGTGGTCTTCCGGGTGCGCTTCAAGGTGTTGGTTACCACCTTTAAAGCGCTCCATGGCATAGGACCTAGTTATCTTCGAGACCACCTGCTGCTACCGACAACCTCCCATCGACCCGTGCGCTCCCACAGAGGGCCTCCTCAGGGTGCCATCAGCCAAACAATGTAGGCTGGTGACCCCCCAGGGGGAGGGCCTTCTCTGTGGGGGCACCTACCCTATGGAATCAGCTGCCCCCTGAGATAAGGAGAATCCAAGACCTCGGTGCCTTCCGCCTTGCCCTTAAAACTTTCTTTTTTTATCAAGCTGGGCTGGCTTAACATATTTTTAAATTTTTAATTTGTAATTGGTTTGTCATTTTAAACTGGGGCCAAATTAATATATATTCTTTTAATTGTTCTTAATGTTTGTATTGTATGTTTTTATCTGGCTGTACACCGCCCTGAGTCCCTTGGGAGAAGGTGCGGTATATAAATTTGAAATAAAATAAAATAAATAAAAAATAAATTAATCTACAGCCCAGTGAATTCTGAAAACAAATCTTAACAATTTTATTTCATTGACTTTTATTTAAATAAACCATTAATATTTAAATTGTAAACGTATTTTTCTACCACCTTTCCTTTTCCAACAAAGTTTGTAAAATGTTATCATGCTTTATGATGTTTATCAGCATTTAGAACATTTAGGTTAAAATAAAAAAAATAACTGACCATATTGAATCTCTCTCCACACAGCAATCATACTGGAGGTCCCATGTGAGCAGAGAATGTGTCCCTGTGGACAAGGGATCATTTAAACTATAGCTCTTACCCTGTTACATTGCACTCACAGATCTGAATCTCCTTACCACAGAAAAATAACACAGAAATTCTGATCTCTTCTATGTAGTTACTATCAGCATTTCTGAACATAGCTAAATTCTCTTACACTAATTGTAAAGTTAGGCTACCATTGATGATCCCACCATTAATTCTAATAGCCATTATGTTTTGTTTTGCTTTGTTCTATTTTATTTTAATGTTTTAATTTCTATTTTAGTCTGTAGCCGTAATAAAAGATTGAAGTGAACTGAGTTGCAAAAATAGAGGTTTGTCATCAGGATTTTACTTGGATTTAAAATCTCCAACTAAAATGAAAGTCAAATTTAGAAATGTAAAGGTTAAGTGGAGGATTACAAAATCCTGTAATCACCCTAAGGAAGTTTTGATCTGATAAATCATTCAATGCAGGGAGATTAAACATTAGAATAGTAAGGGCTGAATTTTACTCTTTAGAAATAGACAGGAAATTAAATATTGTGACTGAAATAACTGCTAGAAGTGTGGATGAATTCAAAGTGGTTATGCCATCAAATGTACAACCTTTAAGCTAGATGTTTTGAACAAGAATGGAATGAAACTGGTCAAAACCAATGATTCTTCTTCTATAGTTTTCTATAAGATTATGTTATACAGTGGTGAAAGTGGGTTAATTCCAATTATACTCCAGATTTTGTGTAAAGCATAAAAGTGAAATTTAAACATTCAAAGGGCTCCTGGTATGGAGCTTAAAATAAAAGTCAACTATGCAACTGAGTTTTCTTCCCAAGAACTTAGAAGCACAACTTAAAAGTTCAAACCTTAAATATAGATTATAGATATCTAGATAGATAGATAGAATTTTGTTTGCAAACAAATTCACTTCTAGTTTGTGCACTATTTTCTTTCTCAGAAACAAATAAAATATATCCATATATTTGTTCTCAAAAATACTTTATTTATATACCTAATATATCCATAACATGATCAAAAATACATTTCACATTTTAATAAAAAGATTTATAATATTCTCTTCATTTACAAAGAAAACAAACCTAGAGCTATGACTAGAAAATTTACGCTGTGACATTTATTTATGAGGAACAATGGAGAAAAGATAATATTTCTTTTTGAAAAATGGAGTTTATTTTTTAAAACATGTATTCGGCTCCTCATGTTCCAGTTTCAATAATGAAACAGGATACTGTACAAGCAACATTCAGAATAGTTTCTCAAAAGACAATCAAGGTGACAAGTTCAAAACCAATAAGGATTTTAAAACTTCAAATATAAACTAGTTGGTATCAATGCAAAGCCTTCTTTCAAAATAGACAAGTCAACATGGAACAATTGCTCTGTCCAATACCATTTTTCAAAAATTGGATGATGAAATTTTACTCATTCACTCACTCATAAGGTAAAGGTTCCCCTTGCACATACGTGCTAGTTGTTCCCAACTCTAGGGGGCGGTGCTTATCTCCGTTTCAAAGCCAAAGAGCCAGCGCTGTCCGAAGACCTCTCTAGTCATGTGGCCAGCATGAGTAAACACCAAAGGCGCACAGAACGCTGTTACCTTCCCACCAAAGGTGGTCCCTATTTTTCTACTTGCATTTTTTATGTGCTTTCGAACTGCTAGGTTGGTAGAAGCTAGGACAATTAACGGGAGCTCATCCCATTATGCAGCACTAGGGATTCAAACTGCTGAACTGCTGACCTTTTGATCGACAAGCTCAGTGTCTGAGCCACTGCGTCCATTCTTCATTCACCCATACTAAATACCTAATTCCTTGGGACTGAACGAGTTTCAATCTTGTTTATGATAAATTAACAACCTAATTTGCTTCAGGAACAATGTAGCAGCAGTCATTGTTGGTATTACATAAAAAGAGCCTTTACCATCAACCTATAGTACTGTACTCTTTACTGACAGGAAAAACATAATTTAAAAGTAACTGCTATTGTAATATAATGTCACTTTCTTCTAAATCTGGAATGGAAGGTTAAACGCCATAATTACTATTTGTTAATACAGTAACTGAACTACTGATCTGTGAATTCTTACAAAAACAGCTGTCAATAAGAATGCATACTGTTTTATTGGAGGCTAGAAAAACTGACTTTGCAGCTATTATAAAAACTATGTAACATTTCTCAAGAATTCCATAAGGTACTCAATATAATTTTTATTATGCTACAATTGGGATTGTAAAACAATTACCAAGCATCTGGCAGACTGAAAGGTAAGTCAACTGATGCATCACTACCTACAGAGGCACTCTTTATTTTATAGCATATCAATATAGTACACCCACAATTTCACATTTATCTTTTGCTCTCTTCTAGGAATTTACCATAATTTAGGACAGAGACTTGGGAAAAAGCCTGTCTTCTAAAATTCTTTAACGTTGAAAACAGAACACTATACAATGGTACCTTGGTACTCAGCTGCTTTGAAACTCATCGAATTTGGTACTCAATGCATTCTGATGAAAAACTTTTGTCCTGGTACTTGTTTGTTTGGGACTCAACACACAAGGTGTCAGTTGCCTCATGATTCACTAACTTTTCCAGCCAAAACAAAGGGTGATCCGTTAGTCACGTGATAGTCCTTGCCCTGTGCACATCCCCTTGCAGTCTTATCTTAGTTTCTGTGGTCATTTTGTATATTTTTGCATGTTTTTTCCTCATCAATACAGTTAAAGTGAAGTTTTTATTTTATTTAATCTATTAATTTTTAGGTTTGTTTCTCATGTAATGATATACAATCCTAGCTTTTTACATATTGCCTTAAAATGTGCATTGTTTTTGGTTTGGGAACATATTAAATTTATTGACATTATTCCTTATAGGGGAAAGAAGTTTGGGTACTCATTGCGCCTCCCATAACCAACGAGTACCGAAGTACCACTGTATAGCTATACCACATTTCAGAAGCATATAAGGACCCTATGGCATGAATACTACAACGTTATTTCTTCTCTCCTTAAGAAAATAATGCAGTTTGCACTTTTAGAAAGCAAATAGTTACAGAAAACATAAAATGGTACAAAGAATACTGTAACTGAACTGCATTACTAACTACAAAATTGTGTGTATAAAACTATAAGAATTTGCATTCTTTCATAATAAAAACCAAACTCTTATATAAGATTTTTTTTTCTAAATGTAAACTAACAATTTTGAGGGTTTTGCAACATTCTAGAGATCAGCTTTTCCAGATTGAAATGGAGTTCATTTTGATACTGCAGATGTAATGGTGACAATTGTTTAAAGAAAGGTATTGATTGCTAACATTTCTGGCAATCATTTTTACATTACAAGCTAAAACCAATTCTAGCAAATTAGGCAACTGGATATTTTCAAAAGGGTATTCCTCCCATTTAAACTGACTTCACTTTTTATTTTTTAAAAAAATTAAAATATACTATTTAAAAGCTGAAGGTTGTATGGCAGAATCCTTGGCAAACAAGTGTATGTTTTTGTCTAGCTGAACAGAATTGTCAGGTTGATGAATTATACAAAAGCATGCAAATCTTGACTACCTATGAGAGAATGACAGATGGACAACAAAAAGCAGTGTGTGTGTGTTTGGTGGGGGGGAATGCCTATCTCTTACCTGAGAAAATCAGAAAAGAATGCTAATATTTACAGTTGGTAGTAGAAAGTATCTTAGTGAAGTCAGAACATGAACGTACTGCATAACATTCTATCAAACACTTGTGCAGTTATGTGAACTTTCTGAAACTGTTAATCCCTGAAAACTAGTTTTCCTGGTCCTTTATTTGTTAATCCAAGCTTATTTTAAAATATTAAATCTTATTTTACGAGGGATTTATACTATACTGATATCACAGGTATTTGTTATCAGCAGGAATGAGAGCAATGGATCCAGTTTCAGTGAAATTAAAACGAAGTTCAGAGGGGACAGTACACAGAAATAATAAGCATTTTGAAATAAGCATTGTGAACTCTCCTAATCAAAAACAAATTCTCTGTTCTTTTTGTGAAATATAACTTTGCAAACTTATTTCCAAAGTGGCAAAATTGCACATTGAAAATCTCAACCCACTCCTTGATAGAATCAAATATTATACAAATGGAAAATCCACCTGCAAAAGTGAAATAAGTGATTCTACATCTTATCAACAATGATAAAGATTTTGATACTGGATTTAAAAGACTTCAAGGTTTGCACCAAAAATTATGCAAGCCTATCCTTCTCACATAACAGGACTCTTAGTTCATTTCGAATCTGTTTCCCAATGCTCATTCCAAACCTCTAAAATAATTTTAGAGGATGCATTGGGAATACAAGAGAAAACATGTCATTCCACCAGTGAAATGGCACTGGTGAAAGCTTCCCAAAGTGACCACATTTTATGACAACAAAAGATGCTATCTTATTCACATGAAAGGCCACAGGCAGTTTTCACAGGTTTCAGTATATTAGAAATTCCAGTGCAGATCTATTCTTATGTACTTCATATCTTTGATTACAGTGACAAAGAAGTGTAATGTGTAACCCAAATAATCATCACTAATGAACTTCCTGTTTACTCCACTTTTATCATTCACATGGCTAATAAAGAGAACACCTGGCTACTGCATTGTTTAGGCCAAACAAGATGGGTTGGTGATGAAAACAAAATACTGCAACATATGAATATATTAAAACTTTTTTTTTCATATTATACATCATTTCTACTTCTTCTTCTTCTCCTGCGCACAGCGAGGACAGTACCTAAAAAAAGAGAAGCATTATATTTAGCCCTATGCACTTCTATGAAACCACTGTTATTTGACAAAGGAATAAATTGATTTATGAATATATTAGCACAAAGACCACTGGAGGTCCCATGTACCCTATTAATATTATCAGAGACATATTCACTTCACCTATTTTCATTCATTCATTCAATACACATATCTCTGTATGTTGGCCTAAACGTCCTAGACCTACATAAGATATGTACAGTATATTACATGTGTGGATATGTAGTTTTTTTAATTTGCCAATTTAAATTTGCAAATATGCAAATGTATAAATCCTAAAATATAAGTCTCACAGATTTCAATGATATTTGCAAATAAAGGAATAGTAATTTCTTCATACAGCAATTTGCTAAATACATTCCTAAATTCAGTGGAATATGTTTCCCAACAAATATGCTTACAGTAATTGCATCAGACCACTTTTCCCTAAATTGGTATCTGACAGATACGTTGAGACTATAATTTCCAGCACATTCAGAAGGTTGCTAGATTGAGGAAGGGTTGCCTTATATTATAAACTCAAATATCAAAGGATAGCTCTTCCACAATAATTTAGAAAGCACTGAATCAAATATAGCTTGGTAACAGTATTTTCAACCTTCTTGGAACAAATGATCTATAAAGAAATAAACAAAAAGTAAACAATTCATGGTACATACCATTTTCCTTTGGGTTTGGTCGTGAGATCCACACAAGCAAAGTGAAACCATTCAATTGGACACTATATTTGGGGTTGAAAAAAAGATGAATGGCATTATGTTTTCTTCATCAGTCTTATGAGCAACATGAGTTTGGCTACCTAGTCCTTCCATATCATATGCAGAATAGGAAATTTTATTACAATATTCTTTCTTGCAAAATGCTTACATTGTAGAATTACACGGTTTATTCTTTACAGCAAAGGAAACAGGAGTGTATTATCTGATAATATATTCATGATTTCATAGTAATATGTATTCTGTGTGTTTGTGAGAGCTATCTAGTATAAAATATGGAGCAATGATATATGGAGCAATGATATATGGAGAATGTTAATGTGCAGATTTTTTTCAAATTAAAAAATACAATTGAACTTTTCCAAAATTGTGTACAAAGAAAGTCTGCAGAAATTCTCCACGGTGTTACTATGACTGTGATTTTTTTTTTGCTTTGCATCTTCTTCTTTTTTCCTTTAAACTTATACATCAGTGTAATTTTAAATAGCTACTGCAGTGCTGCTTTTTCCACATTTGCAATACAAATTCTTGCAAAATAAATTGTATTTTCTGAAAGGGTACAAAATGACTCAATATTCCAACACTCTGCAAGAACTAGGGATGGGTTTGTGATTTTATGAAGAATCCTATATTGGACTGGCAGTTGTTTTTGCTTTAGTCAGCAAATTTGAACTCATAGTACAAATGGATAGCATTTGTCATACTTTGGTTTATTTCAATACTCACATCGGGGTTGTCACACCCAATCATTTCTCCGTAAGATACTTGATGGCACAAGCAGTACGTAGGTTCATTGGGATCCACTGGCATGTCCAAGACATCAGAAGGGTGAACCGACAGGATGGTATCAGCTAATTCAGATCTGCTATGGTATAAATTCAATGGAACTGGGTGAATGTCAGTGACTCAGTAATTCAGAAGGTTTAAGAATTTGTCATTAACTAGAAGAGGTTCAAAAACTGAATTAAAGTTTTGCCAAACTAACTCTATTGCATTTTTAAAAAATCAACAAACATCCTTAATGAATTACGAGAATGCTGTACATCCTATATCATGATTTCAGCAAAACATCTGACAAAGTATTCCATGATATTCTGATAAGCATGTTGGCAAGATCTGGATGGTTGACAATTAAGTGATCAATATCCCTTCTATTTCTCAACATTTTTATTAATGACTTGAAAGAAAAGATGAGAATATGCTTAACAAGCCTGCAGAATAGTACAAGTAGTCCTTACATCCATTTGTTTAGTGACCATTCAAAGTTAGAACGGCACTGAAAAAAGTGACTTATGATTGTTTTTCACATTTACAACTGTTGTAGCATCCCCATGGTCATATGATCAAAATTCAGATGCTTGGCAACTGAGTCATGATAGTTGCCGTGTCCTCGGGTCATGTGTTCACTTTTGCGACCTTCTGACAAGCACAGTCAATGGAAAGCAACCCAGATTCAGTTGCTAAATTAATAACTGCAGTGATTAACTTAACAACTGTGGCAGGAAAAGTTGTAAAATGGGGCAAAACTCACTTAACTGTCTCACTTAACATCATAAATTTTAGGCTCAGTTGTGGTCATAAGTATAGGACTACCTGTATTATTAACGTCTCAAAGCCAGAAATAAAATTTAACACAATATTAATAAACAAGAAAGAGATACTGCAATGGGTTCAGAAAGGCTATGAGAATGATCAAAGGGCTGGAAAGTAAATTATATGAAGAGAGACTATTTCTGTATGTTTTATTCTTTAGAAAAAAAGGTGAACAAGACAAGATTCTTCAAATCCCTGGAAGAACATTCCAGGATATAAATATGTACGATCTTATGTTTAAATGTTATTATCAACAGATCTTTTTCAAAGATGATACATAGCAGAAAGACACCACCATTGGGTTTTTGAATAGCTTAAACATTTTTCTGTACTGTTTTGTCTTGCTCCCGCTCATAAATTCATGTCACCCAATAAAAATATTCTCTTCCATTTTATTCACTGCAGCATAAGACAAAGAGTTATAAACCTATGGTTTTCTACTTCAATATTCATCTGCAATCATTTAGATGATGCCATTGGTTCCTTTCTGATACCTATAGTTTCATTCATAATTAAACTTACAACTTCATCTCCTTGTAGTATCCATCAGCCGCATTAAACAAGATCAGATCACCTTCATTCAGATCTATTACATAATTATCAATGTTCTTTCATTCATTCCTTAATGCTTGTTCTTTATCATTTATTCCTTGTACATTCCAAACTGCAATCTTTTATAAGCAATGGACATCACCAGACTGGCCCACAGACATTAACCTTTGCGGCTTTGGTCAAGCAAAGCTTTCACATGTTTTTAGGAATTATAGGGAAAGTATATACTAGGTTACCAGCTGAATGACTTCTCCAGGCAACCCCTGAGAACCTGTTTTTCTCCCATTTCACAACAATCCACTTGCCATGCCTCAAATGAGGCAGGTGTGGAGTCACTGTCTTTACACAGGAGTACCACCTTGTACTTGCTGCCTCCCTCTTTCTCCTAGCTCACTTGCTTCCTCTGTTCCTCTTCCTTTCAATGCACCTTCCCTTACCTCTACATCTGCTGGAAAGTACCACAGCCATGGTACTCTCTTGGCCTATTTCTCTGTGCCACATTTGAAAATACCACTTTCCTGCCAGATAGCTTTGATCTGATTTCAACTTGCCTTACCAAACTTTACCAAAGGCTGGCAGCAAAATGGAGGTCTACTATGTCTTCAACAAAAGGAAAACAAGCCATTTTGGAGTTGTGGTCAAGAGTGCAGTCTAGATGAGCACATTAATGACACGTGTCACATGAAGTATTTCCTGCTAAAGGTATGGATAATACCAATTAGTTTGGGCACATTTTGCCCATATGCTACAACTGTTATCAATGCTCAATTTTTTACCCCAAGCACATGGGAACTACTCTCTGTGAGCTAGAATATCTAAACTAGGGATTGATATTCCCAATAGCTGTTTTCTCGTCATTCTCCAACCCTTGTCCAGATTGGGTGTTTTTTTAAAAAACCCATCTGAAGCCAGCCAGAACAGAAGGCAAAAAACAAATGCAAAATGGAGTTTCCCTTCTCTCTTTTTAAGCCTACCTGGAAAGGAACTTTCTTGCTTTTGACTAGTTGTTCAGAGGTTGGGTTCCTAAGCTTTACTCATTTCTGTCCACTCTCTATAGAGAGACAGATCTAATTTGAATCATCTTGAAATCTTTTGTGTTTGAATGGGATTTTTCCTTCTTACAAAAAGCTACAATCCAAAACATACTTACCCTAGAATAGTTTCCTGGAGTCTGGAATGAAAAAGTGTTTCTACTGCAAGTTGACTTTGGGGGGAAAAAACCCAAACCCAAGAGCTCTTTCCTATAATTTGTACTAATTTCTAACCTTCGTTTTGGTTTCTTTTTCACTGGAGCATCTTCCTCTGATGTCCGCCGGCCTCGACCACGGGAAGTTTTCTTATCCTTTGGAATTCTCCCCTCTAAAATACAAGTATTTTTCATTAACTACATCGTTAAGGAAAATAGTATGATTTTGTTTTAAATGTGTGTACTAATATTATCACAGGAAGCTTTTATCCATTGCCACTTTCAATTGAGAATGCAGTTTCTCTCAAATTGTTTCAGGGACTATCACTCTCTTGGCAGCTAAGGAGTCCTGTTACAGGAAGATTGATATGTCTGGTTCAAACAACTTCTCTTCACAAAATCTGCCTAACTGAAAGCATCAATTTGAAGTACAGGTAGACCTTGACTTATGACCACAATTAAGACCAAAATTTCCATCACTAAGCAAGACAGTTGTTAAGTGAGTTTTGCTCCATTTTACAACCTTTCTTGCCACTGTTAAGTGAATCACCATAGTTAACTTAGTAGGATGGTTGTTAAGTGAGTGACTTCCCACTGATTTTGTCAAAAGGTCACAAAAGGTGATCACATGACCTCAGGATACTGCAATTGTCATAAATATGAGCCAAATGGTAAACAACCAAATTTGATCATGTGACCATGGGGATGCTGCAAGTCTTAAGTATGAAAAACAATCAGAAGTCACTCTTTCCAGTGCCATTGTAATTTTGAATAGTCCCTAAACAAATGGTCTTAAGTCAAGGACTATCTGTACCAAAGCAGATGTGTCAAATCTGAAAAATTGCATCCCTGGATCTTTCTCATTTTTTTCTCCCAAGAACAATTTATCCCATAAATCATGTTTGGTCACATAATAGTCTTTTCTTTCTCCATTCCCATATTTGAGTATGTAAATATATCATCAATCATACACTTCCTCATATTACGAACTTCCCCATATACAAATATGGGTACACACCTCAAGGACCAAGTTTGTTGGCTGAGGCTGATTAAAAAGTTAATTCAAGTTCTAGAGACTGTATCATATTAGTCATAATATCCATACTTTTTAAGTTTTGTGTCACAGGACTTTCAAAATCACTGCCTTCCAATTTATCCTTCAGATCAGCTTCAAATCGGGCAAGGTCAGCATCTAGCCGTCGAATGTGCTTGTCCACCTGAAACAGAGACAGATACACCACAGAGCTGAAGAAAACAAATTTTCTTAAATAGTATTTTAATTAAAAATCAGACTGTTTTTCTGTAATAAAATATTAAATAGAAGTTTGGGTCTACATGTTTAGAAGGTAAAATAAGACTAGGTTTAAAGTACAAGGAAGCAGATTTTGGTTGGATGTCAGGGAGAATTTCCTAATCATAATAGCTGTTTAACAACAGAACTGTCTCAAGGGACAGCATACTCTCCTTCACTGCAAGGATATAAACATAGCCTGAATGGCCATCTGATGTTATCAGTGTTATTAGTGTAAGGGATTCTTACACTAGATGATTAATAATGTCCTTCCAACCAGTATATATTATTTTTTTAATTAAGCATTTTTAAGAAAAGGAAAAACAGGAAGAGAGAAAAAGAAAGCATCAAATAGATTAATAATTTATAAACAATATAAAACTAGGTCACATTTTTCAATATTTCATTAATTTTAAATAACTGAATATACAATATTCATATATTGTATATATTTTTATAATTTTATAAACCACAGAAAAATATTTGTCTTTCCTCATTTACTAATGCAGCTAGCAGGCACACTAAATTTGGCTGCTTGCTAGCTGTTCTGAAACTTCATAGCAGTAATAAAACATATGTGGTGGTTACAATTCTTTTTTTCCAGACATCATTGGAAACATTTTTCTATAAGTGCAGAAACAAGGGAACGTTATCATAAGAATGGCACTTCTTTTTATTAAGCAGAATAAGTTATGTCTCAATGTCAAATGTGTACAATATAGTTATTCTAGCTGTCAATAAGCCAGGCCAAAAATCACGACTTAATACAATGTGTGAGTACCAATTCTTTCAAAGCTGTTAATATATTCTTCAATGAAATTCTAATCCACTCCAGAAATATGGATGAAGAAACAATTTTGATAAATGTATTTCTGACAAATATAGTTACTTGTCAGGCACATTCACTCTAGACTTCACATTTTTTACTATTTCTTCATTCTGCAAAAGATTAAATGAAGAAATAGTACAATCTTATACACAATCCCTGAATCAGAAAATTTATAATGATAGGTGTTAGCTGAAGTCCAGCACAGCATCTCCATTTGTCAGTTAACAGTTACTAAATATTAAAAAAAAAGTTGCCACCTAAAAGACAAGCTAAAACGTTAGATAAGAAATGTCATAAACATATTAGTCTTCTGCAGTATCATTGCTCTATTATTTAATCTTACCATCTCATAGGTCTGCATGGCCAATTGCACTTTGTCATCACTATACTCTTTGCATTTTGTATAAGCATTTTGGATCTTCTGCAAGATTTCTACTCGTTGCTCTGATGACAGATCCCGCACCGTTGAAATATATTGTGCAGCAAGACTATCAATTTCTGCTTTCTTGTCTGAAGGATAATGAGAAACAGTATAAGTATAAAACTGAAACTGCAATCCAAACTTCATCATACCAAAAAGCCTCAAATTGTCTAAGTAGAGAAATAAGAAAATGTATTTCAATGCTGTAGTTAGGAGTTCATTTACCAGGGGATGTTTTACTAATTTGATTTGGATTTATTTTCACATAAACACAGTAAGTATCTAGTAGTATTTTATAACTGAAATGTTTCAAGAACCATACAAAATAAAACTTATTTATTTTAAATACAAATATATTTATTTTAAAATATAGGATGGAAATCCAACCCTAAAATGTCATTTTAAAAGTCTTTAGCACTGCAATTTCTAAAATTTCAGTATCTCAATCTCCAATGAATTTACTTCACCCACAAACTCACTGGCAACCATCTATCACAAAATCTTTAAGCATACTACCAGATGGATGGAGCCTATTACTGGATATCTCATATGTGATTTGGGATGCTAAGCAAACACTAGCATTAGAAGAGAGCTAAACAAAATATCTCACTTTGCCTCAAAAAAACAGCTAGTTAATGAAAGACTAATGTATTATTTGACTCTCTGAATGTAAATGGCTAGAATAATAATTCTGAGGATTGAAACATTAAATTTCTGCTGGTAGAAGGAAACATCCCTTTGTATTCAGACCTCTGAAATAGTTTGATTTAAACAACATTTTTCCAACAATATCTTATAAATGTAAATACAGTACTTGTTTCCCATATGCAAGCAGAGGACCAAAGTCAAAGAAATGGGCTACTTCTAATATATGTTTTGCTAATGAATAGCACTGCAGCACCAGACATGTACTGTTTGTCCTTTAAAACATGTCATATACAAAAATAAAATATTCAATAATTTGATTCTTATCACTAGTTATTGTCAAGAGGAGGAAAATAATATTGTTTGACTTTTTGTTTAAAAATATATGGCAAGTCCTTAAACTTATCTTCTCAGATATACATTACATCAAAAATGGGAAATCTTTCTTTCTATTAAAGGCTATATTGCTTAGGAGCAAAATGAGAAATATATTGCTTTGAAGGTAACGTGAAAGATATGGCTTAAAAAAATCAGTGAATGGGGCTAGAACCAAAAGTACATAAGTCATTCTTTTTCTAATGCCTTTTTTTCTCTCATTCTCTTTCTGATACTTTTCAACTCTCTTCCAAGAATAAAGTGTGGGAGAGGATGTGTATCTCTTACCATGATTCTGAACTGATCTCTTGCGAAGAGCTTTTTAAATTAGACCAAAGGCTACATATGATCCTAAACTATCAGTTATATCCCTGTATTATCTGAAAAAGATCTGAGAGTTAGTATACTTGAATATACCTTCTGTTCTCTGATCCAGTTCACGCATAAGTTGGAAGTTTCTCTGTAATTCACAGGGCAGGTTTTCAATGCCTGAAAAAGAGAAAGACTGAATTCTTTTCATATCACAAACCTATTTAAATTAAATTTCTGACCACAAACAGTTTGTAACTATCATTATGATATCTTCCCACCACAGATCATTCCCAGTTGCATATGCTGCTTGGTTTCATGGGTCCCAGTGCCTAAGGTTGGAAAACAAATATTGCTAGAGCTCAAAATACTTTAAAATCTCCAAATGGGAATTAAAAGTGGTAACTGTAGCTCATAAACACTGCTCACTTCACTAGTTCTGTTCACTAATATTCTTGCTGTCTCTGAATGTTCTGTTATCAGAAGATATTAGCAGGGGAAAAAAGGCAAAAAAGCTAAAGTTGCAGCAATGTTACCATGCCATTTCCCTGTTTTCTACAATATTATGAATAATGGCAGAAGATATTGCTCAGAAGTCTTTCACCAACTTTATTTCTATCATCAGCATGTATAATATATTTTTGGCACAGAATGTATGCCTTTTCCATTATGATAAAACATTTTCTGTACATTTGATGTCTCTGACACTTTACATTCTAATCCTATGGACCCTTTATCAATGCTGTTGGGTATCTGAGAGAATTCCTTATCCTCACAGTGGTCCGTCCATCTCACCAGCCTACTGTATTACTGAGTAAGGGGGGTCTGAATGCGGTCTTCTATTGGAAAATGCATTAAAACCTTCTATGTGAATGATCTGTTATATGGAAGAGGAGAATAAGAGATCAGCAACATGCAAGGCTCCAATTCTTCTGTTGCAAGACCACTCATCCCATCCAGCCATGGGAATTTGTTGTTTCATAGACATTTCTGTTCTTGCTGCTGAAGAGAAAAAAATATCAATAATGCCACTTCTTTCTTTTCTTCTTTCTTTTGTAATGAAACTATTGATCTTGTAGAGCAGCTCTTCCAAGAAGTTGATATTCCCATGTATTGTATCTACAAATAGGCTGCCAGTGACAACATGGTTCCTTACTTTCTTTAGCTCCTCTGTCAAATCCAATATTTTGCTTGCTTCTAAGGAAGTATCTTCAGCTTATTAAATGAATCTACTTATTTTTGTGATACTTCACTCATTGCCCAGCTGATTCCTGGGTTCTGCTTTGCTGCCTTTTACTAATAAAAATGTGAGTTTCAGAGAATTTGATGTACTGTACGTTATTTCAGCTGTTTGCTCAAAGTTGTATCTCCCTGCCACCCATCTTTCATCTCAGTTTTCATGTAATAAAACAATCATTTCCTTGGAAAAATTAAAAAATGACCAATATAATAAGCTGATAGACTACTTAGTCTCAACCCTAGTTCAGTGCATATTCAGGGCTGGAGAAAAGCAGAACACAACATCTTTTGTGTTGCAAGCACAGTTTTCCAGAGCCCTAGGCTAACCAATCACTTAACATAACTTTTGATACTTTTTATACAGTATAGGCAGCAGTAGATCCCTTGCTACAGAAAGGAGGTACAAAGACAGATTGGGGGGGGGGGGGGGGATTTCCATTTCTTCAAAACTTCTCCCCTGATCTTTTCTAGTGCAATAAGTCAGTATCAGCAATCCCCAAACCAAGTTCAGAGAACTCTTAATGATGCGACATGTTAGGCCTGAGCTGTATGTATTTGTAGGGACATACTTTTCTCCAGTCAAGGATCTGAGGCATCCACATCCAAGAGGGTATATGGATAAGCCTAATAAGGGGGGGCAGAACAGATTCTCAACTCAACTTTTATACAGGTAGTCCTCGACTTACGACAACTGAGCCCAAAATTTATGTTGCTAAGTGAAACATTTGTTAAGTGAGTTTTGCCCCATTTTACAACCTTCCTTTCCCCAATTGTTAAGTGAACCACTGCAGTTGTTAATTAAGGAACATGGTTGACTTTGCAGGGATGCTGCAATGTTGTAAGTGTGAAAAACGGTCCCTTTTTTCAGCACCCTTATAACTTCCAACGGTCACTATATGAACTGTCGTAAATCGAGGACTACTGTAGATAGTGAAAGCTGGACTGTAGCAGACTTCCCTCTTTGCCTCTTGGGAGTTTTTCCTCACTGCGGTTCTGAATTCAGTAATGACAGCATTCGTTTCGACGCTTGCACAATTCTCTCGTCGGTATTGAAGGGAAGCTTTCGGTCGAACCCTTCTGAGCCAGTCAGAAGAATGCAACTTCGCTTTAAAAATCCGCGACGGCTCAATTGTTTCAAGAGAGAAATCGGTAAAAACATGGTTCGCTTTTTGCTCTTGAAACTGTTTTAAAGTAAGCAACCGCGCCGACCCGCAGCGAGGCATAAAAAGGAAATACTTTCATGGCCACGAGGTTCTTCAAAGAGAAGATGGGGGCCTGTTATAAACGGGGCGGTTACCCGGGAAAATGCTCCAAGTTTAAAGTTGAAAGTGTTTGTGTAATAAGCTTACAGGTGGCACTGACGGCGAGGAACGCCGAAGCGGCCCCTACAGGCCAAGACCATCAACTACATCCCCAGAGCCGGCTGAATGTGTTTTTCGGCGCGCGGTTAGAGGTGTGACGCAGCAAAAATACCTCTCCGGTTAGTTCCTCTCCGCACCCCCCCTCCCCTCCCCCCCACACACACCGGGGCTATGACGCAGCTGCAACAGCCGGCGAGACCACGCGGCGCTCCAAACCTCCCCAACGCCGCACTCACTCACTGTCCAGGTAGTGCTCCAAATACAAGGCCGCTGCCGCCATCTCGAGTCAGCCAACCGCCAGCCAACCGGCCGACGCCCACCTTTCAGCCGTCGCGCGCTCGGCGCTGTCACCCCAGCGCCTTCGCAATGGCCGGCCAAGCTTTCATCGCATAGTCATGAGGCGCCGCCACCGATTGGTCGCGTCGCCACCGTGCCGCCTATCAATGAGAAGGCGGGGACGAGGACTGGAAAGCCGGGAGCAGTCCGGGTACAGCTTCTCCCCCAGCGGGCGAAGTTGGCTGGATGCTGGAAAGTTTGCACGACACGGCCCCGATGCGCGCCTTGCAAGGAAACCCAGCCTTTGCTTAATATCAAACGCGGCTTGGATGCCTAACGTTCTCGGCTCTAAGTCTTTTGGACATTCGTATTTTGTTTTTTCCAAGTAAAGAGAGCTCTCCCCTTGTCCTGTTCCGGCCACGAGGCAATGGACTTAAAACGGGCTGCGAACTGCTTATCCCGTTTGCCAAGCCCTGAACATAAAGGTATTTCGCACAACGGATTCCCTGAAAATAGACACTTTTCACAACGGATTCGGTTATAAAGCAAAGCGTGCTACTTTGGAGGGTTCTTTTCCAATGGAAAGAATTAAGGGGTGGGGGGAGAATCAGATTTTGAGAGTGATGCTTTATTTGTCGTGGTTAACTTGCAGAAATGGTTTGAAAAGATCCAATCCTTCCAACTACCCGCTTAGTCTATTGAAGGCAGCCAATGTCGTGCAGGGTCGTTGTGCGGATAAATGAGGGAGTGCCACGTGTTCAGCCGAAGGTTTGGCGTACTTAAGCACGAATAAAAATCCTCGGAAATTATATCTATCTATCTATCTATCTATCTATCTATCTATCTATCTATCTATATGTTCGAATGAGGTTAGGACGTTCTCTCACTAAATAAAAATACTGCATACGAAAGTCGTCCGCGATCGCTTCTCCCGCTGTCTTGAGTTACCACCCCGAATCCCGTATTTTTAAAAAAACGATTTCTAAAACCGTATCTCGCAGCACGTGCAGTTTTTCCACCTACCCCCTGCAAATTAATCGGCGACTGTTTACACTGTATGGAGTTTTTTAGAAGGTGGCCCCAAAAAGACTTGGTGGTTAATAAATGCGGTAGGTTAAGAGATAAAAGCGAGAAGAAGCGAGCAATCGGCTTCCCTGCTCGCACCTTTCATGAACTCGTAGTTCTTTTTGGTGCTCAAAAGGAAATTCGGGTCCCTCCTCCCCCTCTTCTAGTTAAACCTTATTTCTGGGTATTTTTCCAGGACCTCGTGTAAAAAAAAAATGTTCGCGCGTTTCCGGTTTCGCCTTCCTATTTGATTACCATGGCGACAGGGGCCGCTCTGCACGCCGGAAGTATCATTTCTATGACTGTTAAGCGCGGGAAGTTGCAAGTTCAGTGACTTTTGTTGTTGCCTCGGGTAGAGACTGGGAGGGTGTATCAATGGCGGGCCGACGAGGGGCTTTGATTGTCCTGGAGGGCGTTGACCGAGCAGGCAAAAGCACACAGAGCCGAAGGCTCGTGGAGGCTCTCTGGGCAGCAGGGCACCAGGCCGAACTTCTCAGGTTTCCCGGTAAGTGGAGCGCAGACCTCGGGAGTGGATCCATACTGCAGGAATGGCGTCGCCTCTAATTTCGTTAGAGAAAAATGATCTCAATAGAATGTCGCAGAGCAGACTGAAACTCAGTGGGTACAGCCCTTCAGAACCAGACAAGCATGGTTTAGATGATATGGTTGAATTTATATTTATTGAGCAACTGATAGTAGAAGAAAGACATGGTAACAGTAAGAGGGTTTTGCGATGGTGCTATTGATGGGGAAAGTGTTGTACACCATCTGTACTTTATTATAATTGTGATTAATCTATAGTTAATAAGTACTCAAAAGTAATCCTGTCCTACACTTTTAAGCTTTTTTTTAAGCTATTTCTTTTGGAACACTTGGAACTAGCATTTTCAGCAGCTGGTTCTTTACAGAATATGCTTACATCTAATTATGTTCAGTATACTAGTGAGATTTTAAACAATATTTCCTTTATTTCCACTGCAGATTATTTGATACAGTAATGCCTCGGTACTCATTCTTAATTGGTTCCAGGAGGCGTGATGAGTACCAAATTTTTCCCATAAAGAATAGAGCAGTGAATCACGAGGCAGCCGACACAAGTTTTAGCTTGTGCGTTGAGTACCAAACAAACAATTAGTACTGGGACAAAATTTCCATGTCAAAATGCATTGAGTACAAAATTCAATAAGTTTCAAAGCAATTGAATATCAAGGCACCATTGTACATACAGTATTTAACTAAATTAATACTCCATTAGGATCTTGTTTGTATGTTCATTTGGATTATGGTACTATAGAGGGGAAGTGCACATACAGCTTTATTTCTTACACTTCAAGACATGAAGTGTAACTAACAAACATGGAATCCATCTTTGTATGTACTTGCATATTGAAGTCATGCCATACTTTTCAACTGAATTTTGAGAGAGATAAAAATTATCAGATAAAGCAGTTACACTTTATGTAATGCATGCTTAATGCATGTGTTGTATGTTTAAAGAAGAGACTGAGGAAGTGTGTTATATTTCATTTTTTCCTGTTTATTTATTACAGAAAGGTCAACAGAAACTGGACAGCTAATAAGTTCTTACTTGGAAAAGAAAAATAACTTGGAGGACCACACGGTGCATCTACTGTTTTCTGCGAATCGTTGGGAGCAAGTGTAAGATAATTTTTTTATCTTGTACTAGGGGGTCCAAATATTTCCCATTAAATCCAATTTGATTTCACATTTTACTTCGGGAAAATTATGAATGTATGACTTTCAAATATTGTGTTAGGCTGCAATCCTATGGTCTGTGTAGAATATCCCAAGATCCAAAATATTTTAGATGCCCTTCTCAATTTCAGTTCCAAGAAGGAAATCAGGCATAAAGCCCCTTCTCCCAAGAACATTCAAAACTTCAGTAGTTCTTTTCAGAAAAAGATGAAAGAAGCAGGTTGGAATTTGATTATTGATATTAACCACTTGTTACTATAAACTAGCATGAATTATTTCAAGAGGTTAAGCATTATTTCTGGGAAGATAAAGCAGAGTGCCTTTTCTTATTTCTGCCCTAAAAAGTGCACTAACCACACAGATAGGATTGTTCTCGACATATTTCTTGAAAAGGATGGGAAAGGTACCCAGGAAACAAAATCAGGAAAAGAATACTATCTCTTGTCAGGATTCAGAAATTTCAGAATTATGATATAGACTTGCTGGTAAAATATTTGAAATAAAGAGATGTTATAGAATAATATAATGAAGCAGGTGCAAACTATCTTTAACACAAGTTTAAATGATATTGTTCCAAAAGTTTTTTAAAGAATAGATTCTACCACCCATTTAAACCTGGTACAGGTATGATACAGAATGGCATAGTAAGAAAAGAGGATGAAATCAACTTAGAATTATAACACAATTCCATAGGCCATAAGATTGCAACTCTGGTGTAGTATTATATAAACTTACCCAAAAATTTGTACTGAAATTCTTGTAAAGACTTATCTCTTTATGTGCCTTTGAGTCATTTTGACACCTGAAGACTACCTGGATTAGCCCTTGCAGTTTTCTTGGCAAGGGTTTTCTTAAGTGGTTTGCCATTGCTTCCTTCCTAAGACACAGAGAGTGATGCCCCATGATCACACAGCTGGTTTCATGCCTAGGCTGGGTCTAGAACTCATGGTCTTAATTTCTGGTCTTAAAACAGCATCAAATTGACTCTCAAAAACATAATCCAGTTTTTAAACTGTAAGTAACAAAATGAAAGCATTGAAAACTATGATATTAGCAAAATACATTTTAATTTAATTTAATTAATTCAATTTATATGCCGCCCCTCTCCGAAGACTCAGGGCGGCTCACAATACATTTTAAAACATCATTATAAAAAAACATTTAAAAATTAAAAAACATTAAAAACATTAAAAACTCATTCACGCCAATATGGCCGGATCTCGCCAAATCACAAGAGCGAGATCAACGGCCCTAGGCCTGCCAGAAAAGCCAGGTCTTCACCGCTTTTCGGAAGGCCAATAGGGTGGGGATGGTCTGGACCTCAGGAGGTAACTGGTTCCAGAGAGCTGGGGCAGCCACAGAGAAGGCCCTCCCCCGCGGGCCCGCCAGCCGTCATTGTTTAGCTGACGGGACCCGAAGGAGACCAACTCTGTGGGATCGCTGGGAGCTATGCGGCAGGCTATACTGTCCTTAAAGAGCTGCCCAAGTACCAATGACTATATATGCCTTTAAAAATTATCCAATGAATTAATTGGTTATAAAACTAATTATAATTGATTATAATTTTGAAGTAGCCCAATTTGTGTGGTATATTATCTTCATTATATTAAAGGATGTTATGAAACAATGCAGTCTTAAAAGTAACCTATATAAAGGAGAAGTACTGAAATCACCCATTTTGCACCATTGCTTTCTTCTGGAGTTCTTCCCTAAGATGTGTGAACATTGACCCCTCCCACACACACTAAATGAATAGTCATGGAATGCTAGTATTGTAACTTAATTTATTTTTACTTTTGGTAAATAAAATACCATTCTCTTGTTCAGGCCATCTATTAAAGAAAAATTAAGCCAAGGTGTCACTCTGATAGTGGACAGATATGCCTTTTCTGGAGTAGCCTTCACAGGTGCAAAAGAAGTGAGTAAATCAGAAATGTACTAGCCTAGCATTGTATCAAAATTTTATTTTACCCTTTCTAGCAACAGTCTCTGGAAATCAGATAGTTTATGTCAATTTTCTGCTTCCTCATAAGATTTTTTTATACATTTTGCAGTGTTGCAAAGTTTTGTTAGTATAAAGGCTTTGACAGGAAATCCATTTTAACATTAAGATTGCTTGTTGTATATGCTTATTTGTCTTTATTGGACTCTGGTTTACTGGCTAAAGGCAGTTATAAATAAATAAAATTGAAATAGCCTGGCCTATTTAATCCTATTTATACTCCCTAAAAAAAATAGCATTTATCCTAATATATTGGGCTACTGTTCTCAAAAGTCCCAGTCATAGTCAAGTATCTAAATATTATGGGGAATTTTAGCAGAATAGATGATATCCTTGGGGAAGGGTAGTAGTTTGTAGCACATCTGGTTGTACTGTATGTAAAGGTCTTATGTTCAAATATTTCTACAAGGTATAAACTGACAAGATACAAACACTACAAGAATATTTATCTGTTGAGAACTGAAAGTATGGATATTAGTGAAGAAATAGAACTATAATTTATCTTCCTGTAATCTTATCAAATGGTTATTTGTTTACTTTTAACTATTTACTGCGGCTCTTAATTCTCTCTGAACAGAACTTCTCTTTGGAATGGTGCAAGCAACCTGATGTGGGGCTTCCAAAGCCAGATTTGATCCTTTTTCTTCAATTGAGTACATCGGAAGCAGCCAAACGAGGAGAATTTGGAAATGAACGCTATGAGAACACGTCTTTTCAGGAGAAAGTTCTCCAGTGTTTTTACCATCTGATAAAAGATAAATCTTTAAACTGGAAGGTAAGAAATTAAATATTAAAAAAATAGAATTAGCTGGTAGTACTTGTAGCTTTTGGTTAACCATAAGCTATTGGTTTTTTAACTTTTTATGAGTAGAAGATGGAATGAGTCATTTCTCTCTAGCTGAAAAGCTGAATTTAGGGCATTCATTCAATGACACTTTCTTAGTTAAATAATAAATGTTTCATTTCTGTATGTTTTGTTTTTGAATATAGTTGATTGATGCTTCGAAAAGTGTAGAAGATTTGCACAAAGAAATTAAATCCTTTACAGAAGAGGCTATGCAAGAAGCTCAGCACAAACCTCTAGGAGAACTGTGGAAATGAAATTTACTTAACCTAAAAGCCAGAGCTTATTTAATCAAATCCTGCACTATTTGCATTCACATATTTGGTAAACCTGCATGTGTGTATATTTGAGAGGCCAAGCAGGTTTCATTTGCTAATCTTTACTATTTATCCGCTCCGTTCCTCTACAGACTGTGGAGTTTTAGAAGAGTGAATATAGAATATGTTCTATATTCCATTTAGATAAGACTTGAGATGTTCAGTACTAAAGTTTTTCTATAAATATGTTGAATGAAATCATGTGCATTAACTTCTTCTCACTATAGTAAGGTTTTGTATGTGTGTTTGTAATATTTCATTTGTAATATGTAGAGTAAGTATCGATAAAATATTCCCAACTATGCAGTGGGCATGTCTGGCTAAGGATATTTAATAACTTGAGGTATTAACAATGTGAGTGAGTGTGTGTGGGTAGATTCTAAAGGAAGTTTGATGCCACTGATGTAACAGCTTAAAATAGTGTTTGTATTTTGTATTTTATTATCGAATTATTGTATGTATAGAGGCTGGTAATAATCCTCCAAGCTGACACAGACTCTTCCAGGCATTGTAGGAAGACAACCAGGTTGGTCTTTGGAAGACAAAAATCTGGTAGCATCATTTTAAATTAACATTTTATTCTATTGTATATTGAATTAAAGCAAAATAACTTTTTTTGTCTCAATTGATAAAATTTTTGTCAGGAATCCTAGAATAATTTGTTCAACCTTTTTATATTCTTATTTTAGTCTAAGCAAAGCCATAATTATTACTGAATAACTTATTTAAATTCTTTAATATGTTAATTTTTATATTTATGTTTTCTTATATGTGATTGATTTTATGTTCAAATGGAATTTCTAAAATAGTGGATATAATTTTTTCTTACAAGATGAATTTGAATGCTATTCATATACTATTATACAGTTTTAAAAATTAGACAAGCAAATTCTTGGTTTTTTATTAAACTGGCAGAAATATATTGCATTACAGAGGATTATAATAACTAGCAATTTCAATCAATATTTTTTCTATTTTAATTCCTTGAATTTTATTATTCTCAATACAACCACTGACATTTCAATAATTAAACACAGACTGAATATAGATTGAAGCAATAGTAATTTGTTAAATTATCTAATAAACACAATTTCCCCCCCAAAAAATTATCTTTAACACTGTCCTGTAAGTTTCTTGTAGTATAACGGTTAAACTGAAATAACCTAATTACAGGAAGTTCCTCATAAATTTTGAGCCCAAAATTTATGTTGCTAAGTGAAACAATAGTTAAGTGAGTTTTGTCCCATTTTACAATCTTCTTGCCAGTTGTTAAGAGAATCACTGTAGTTAAGTTAATAACATGATTGTTAAGCCTTCCCCATAGCTTTGCTTGTCAGAAGGTCTCAAAAGATGATCACATGACCTTGGGACACAGCGATGGTCATAAATATGAACCAGTTGCCAATCGTCAGAATTTTGATCATGGGGATGCTGCAAAGATTGTAACTGAAAAATGGTCATAAGTCACTTTTTCAGTGCTGTTGTAACTGGTCATTAAATGAACTGTTGTAAGTCGAGGACAACCTGTCCTTGATTTGTTAAATTTTGCAAGCTTGGAACGGACGTTGACTTATCTGAACATCCATTTTTGGTGCGCTGCGGGATAATCCAAGCGTGGATTATCTTTCATCTATTTGCCAGAGGCTGAGTGTAGATTTTTTCTTTTTTTTCTTTGGCCACACCTTTGCTCGGCTGAGCTTCAGTTGTTTCAGAAAGGCGCAGTCATCCAGCATGTCCTGTGAAGGAAAGGAAACCCACCCTGGGACCTAATCAGGAAGCCGAGAGGGCAGGTTGGATTATCCCGCAACTCACCGAAAATGGATGTTCAGGTAAGTCAACATCCATTTTCCAGTGCACTGCTTGGTTAATCCCAAGTGTGGGATATACCCAAGCTCAAGAACACTGAGCGGGAGGCTGACTGATCCCTGGGCCCTGGGTGGAGTGTACACTCTGCAACACCCGCCGTCCAAAGGACGCCTCAGCTGAGGCATAACTGTCTAATTTGTAATGTATGAATGATGTCAATGAGAACCAAGTGACCGCTCTACAAATGTCGCTGACGGAGGCCTGCATAGCCCAAGACATCATTGTGGCAGTGCTCTGAGTTGAGTGAGCTAAAATCCGTCAGGTAAAGGCTTGGCCTTGAGCTCATATGTTTTCACAATACACGCCTTCAACCAATGGCCCACCGTAGAGGAGGAGACCTTTCTGCCCATTGATGAGGGGTGAAAGATCACAAAAAGAGCTTCAGTCTGTCGAAACGAAGCCATTTGTTTAATGTACCTGTGGAGGGCCCTCCTGACATCCAAGGTGTGCCATCTTTCTTCTGGTGGGTGGTTGTGTTGTGGTCCGTCAGCGGCCTGTGCAGTTAGTAGCTGATTCCGGCAGCGAGGAGGCTGGTGTGCTGCGCCAGCAGCCTGTGCAGCTGGCGCTCAAGTCAGACAATGAGGAGGCTGGAGAAGATGTGTACTGTGCGAGTCACAGGTAAGGATGGTAGACAACGCCGCCACCTGCTGGCGTAGGGTGTTGGGGGCCAGCCCCTTGTCCAGCCCTGATTGCAGGAATTCTAGGACCTCAGGTATGGAGGCTGACGTAGGGTCGATGTGCTCCTTGGAGCACCAAAGACAGAAAGATCGCCAAGAAGGGTTGTAAATCTGTTTTGTCAACGCACGCCTGAAAGCCTGTATGGTTTGTATCACCTTCCCTGAAAGATTATCCTTCCTCAGGAGGATCTTTTCAAGTGCCAGATGGTCAACTGGAGCCACTGGGGCTCCGGATGGAATATGACCCTCTGGCTGAGAGAAATCCTATCCTGGGGAATCCTCCAGGGTTGGGATACGGAGAGGCTCACCAGGTCGGTGTACCAGGGATGCTGTGGCCAATGGGAGGCGACTAGAAGCACCTCTGCTCTTTTGGCTAACAGTTTTTGAATTACCCTCAGGATGAGTGGGAGGAGAGGGAATGCATAGAGCAACCCCTGAGGCCATGCGCTGCAGAGGGCATTGCATTTTTCAGCCCCTGGGCTCAGAAATCGAGAGAAAAACTTCAGAAGTTGCATGTTTTCCGGCCGGGCGAACAGATCGATGATCGGTAGGCCAAATCGTAGCGATAGTTCCTGAAAGAGCTTTGGATGAAGACGCCATTCTGACGGATCCAGATGTTGTCTGGTCAACCAATCTGAACGTTGGATGAGCCGAAGATGTGCTCTGCTTTCAGGGAGAGCGTGTATCTCTCCGACCAGCTCATCAACCTCTCCGCCTTGGCCATGAGAGACTGGGAACAAGTGCCCCTTTCTCGATTTATATGTGCTTTCGTGGCCACATTGTCGGATAAGATCAGCACATGTTGACCTGTCACTGTGGTTTGAAAGTGGCGGAGGGCAAGGTGTATTGCCCTCAGTTCCAGCCAGTTGATGCTGTTTTTCCATTCCGCTGGAGACATTGTCCCTGAGCCATTTGAGAGAGCAGATGTGCGCCCCAGCCAAAGAGGCTTGCATCCAATGTCACTGTGGGCTCCTGGAACACACACCTCTTCTGAAGTGCGGCAGTTGTCCACCATCGGAGGGATAGACATACTCAAGGTGGAATGGCCCAGGAGCTGCTGCACCCTGTTCTCTGGAACGGTAGTAAGAACCATTGCAGCAGACGAGCATGCCGGCATGCCCAGGGTACAATCATAATACACGAGATCATTTTCCCAAGCAACTTGAGACAGGAGGAGCAAGGGGACCAACCGTTGGAAGATAATTTGTGACACCAACGCCTTGACACCAATCCGGAGACAGGTAAACCTGGCCTCTGAGCGAGTTGATCACCGTCCTTAGGTGGAGTATGCGGGTGGTAGGTGTCAGATGACTCTTTTTCAGGTTTAGAGAGAAACTGGTGTTGGAGTATGTGGATCACTGTCTCTTAAGTCCTTTGTGGCTTGCGCCTGGGAGGACGACAGGATTAATATGTTGTCCAAGTAGCACAGTATGCGTTCTGTAATCAATCGGAGCGTCGCTGCAACTGCCGCTAACAATTTGGTAAATGTCCTGGGGGCCGAACGGCATGGCCTGATATTAAAAATGGCGATTGGCATACGCAAAGCGCGGGTACTTGCGATGTGCTGGGTGGATCAGGACATGTAGTAGGCTGCCTTGAGGTCCACTGATGTCAAGATGTCAATTAAATATTTTATTAAAATAAAGGATTTCTCCCACTCCAATTTCAAACCCCATTTGAATTATTGAAAACAAATGCTTGATTGAAGTTTTGAATAACATGAGCTTTTGAATAACAATGAGCCTGGTTTGCATTTGTTTCATTGCCTCTATTGGAAGAGGACAGCTGATTCCTTGTTTTACCTCTTATGTTTTAATCCTTTTAAATTTTTTGCAAAGCACCTCTAGAACGATTTGTATTTGGAGGAATATTTAGTTCATTTAATCAGCTAATAATAGTTAAAAACTATTGAATTGGAAGAGTAAAGGTTTCAGCATATTCTCTGGAGAATATGGAGGTTAAACTACCTTCCCCAAGGTCTATAGAATTCTTAGGTAATTAGGATTTGTTTTTAATTTGTGTGTGCATGTGTTGTCTGCCTTGAAAATTTCTCAGTTATTTGGTTATAAGA